AGAATATATTTGTAAAAGGTTTGATTTGAAAAATATAAATTTTCTTTTTCTACTTTTCATAAATAATTATAGACTTTAACGACTTCCTTACTTTCTTATTTAATTTTACTACTTCAATTTAATCCAGTTATAAAAAAATTTTCATGTGATAAATGTCTGTAAACACAGGTTAATATATAAATACATGCATGTCATGCACGCGTGAGTATGAATTTCACTTTAATAGTGATGAAGCCAATTTTTTATATTCGCATGCTAAGTTTCGAGTTTCCCGAATATTTCATATAAAGCAATGAACATTTATAAAGTTCGTGTCCTCGAAGATTTTCATCGTACACATAGTTAGATACTTTCGTGACAATATATTCAAACTATAAAACTTTTCGCCATATCGCTGCAAGAGTGACAATCGTAGTTAACTTTTCATAGTTAAACAAAAAAAAAAAAAAAAATATTTCACATTATTATTAAAAAATAAAGTTATTTAAAAAGTCTTAGGAAATTTAACGTAAAAAATTCTTTTACATAATGTTAAAAGCATAACTTTAATGAATTTTTATGAGTACAGATTAGAAAGCATAATAATTAAAATTCGTATTCAAAGGCATATAATTTTTTATAAATTTAAGTCTTCGTAGTAATAATTCAGATTAGAAATTTTTTATATATTCTTACTCAATTTATAATGAAGATCAGAAACAAATATCTTCTTAGTCATTAACAATTAAATGACCAATGAACTTATTGCTGTTGTTAAACATTTCTAAAAATTTTATTATAATGTCGACTAATAAGAAATTTCAATTTATTACATTTTTTCTATCTTCTTCCAAAAAATCATCTCTGCGTAATGTCGCGTCATATCAATATCATAGTTCCGAATTTTACGCCATTGACGTCATTTTAGAATGACTTTTCGTATCGGAACCATATTTTGGATAAATGTATCATTTCATATAAATTATTAAGCATTAATAAATTAATAATATTATTTACGGTTCTTTGTATTACTATTTTTTTTATTATTAACGACGTGCTCTCTTATGAAATACTATACTATAATTTTTTAATATCCTTAACAATTTTATGCATTTAACTTTTTTAATATTAAAATTACTTATTCTCAGCTTATAACCTTTGGTATTGATTTAATGTTTAGGATTTTTAAAGGCGTGATCGACTGAAATATTTAGAAATCTCTTGCTTTTATTTTATTGCATTAAGATTTTACACATTTATTGTGTTATTATTTGAGAAAATAATTGATAGAATTATTTATTAATTAGACTAAAACATCCTTTCATAAATTGTAAATCTTATTTTCCGTTTAAATGCAATATTTACATATTTGCTTACATATTTTTAATGCAAAGCAACGTAAATTATTGAATATTAAGTTATCGATTGTATAAGGTAATAAAAATATATTGATAAAGGGGTGTTGAGATAAAATTTGAAAATTTATCAATTAAATAAGTTTAAATTTTAAACAATAATTTTCATCATTTTTTCTTCTTGATAAATATAATTTGCATAATATTTCAAATGTAATCAATCAACTTCTCACTATTTGAAAACTAATTATTTTATTTACTTTTATTGTATATCAATACATAAATTATTTTTAATTACACAGAATATTAATTGTTCTCTTCATGAATTTATTAATTCTTTGAATCATAGTTGGGGCATGAATGCTAATAAATTTTATGCTGTCAAATAATGAAATATTTTATACTTAATACACATGAGTATGAATGGTTAACGTGCAGCTGGAGTCTATTGAGAACAACGCTGATTTCTTCATAAAATACAAAAGCTTTATTTTGTATCCCGCAAAATCAGACTTTTATTACTGTTTATGAGTGAATTTTTCATTTTATTAAATTAAATTAATTTTTATCATAATAATATATAATATGAAAATCTATATTATTATTATTATATATTTAAAAAAAAAAAAAAGATTTTCCTTCTTTACTAAAATTATGACCAAATAGTTTTAACTTTAAAATTTTTAAGTACTAAATTATATGGGTAATTATTGTGAATACATTCGTTTAACATCAGTATATCATTTTTGTTTATAAAATTATTTTTACTTTGCTAACTATATTTAAGAAGCTATTATATAATTGTTAAATTTGCTATAGCTTTGTAATAATAATGTTAAGAAAATTTCAATTTTAGAACTCAAAATATTCCATTTGTTACATATTTATTTATAATTTGTGCATACATTTATATATAAATATTTGAATTTGATGTATTTTCATGAAATTGTTTTACTAAATTGTAACTTATTATATATAATGAGATTAAAAAATATATAAATCAGAGTATAAATTTGTTGTGTTTATTTAAAATTCGAAGCATCTACAATGTAAAGAAAAGCCAAAATTAATGTATGCATGGATTAAATATATCAGCATTTGTTTGGGTTGAAAGTAAAAGCTCCACTTTATTCTAATCATAATAATTTATTGATACCTATTTATAGATAAACTGGAGATACAATTTTTGCTGATTGTAAAACAAAAATGAAGTTAAAATATAACACACGCGTTGTTCAAGCATGATAATCAATAAAAAAAAGTTACTGACCTTTGTGACTCGATATTCTGGTTGCTGACCATCCAAACAATTAAAAGTATATGAGAGATCAAATATCATAATAATGTTCTTAAATCATAGTATTATCCTTGTAATCCAAATGTGCCGAAAATTATGAATTTAAAAATTTATAAAATTCAAATGTAAATAATAATCATGGCACTTGAGAGTATCTAAAGTTTATTCGTAATTTTGGTAATAAAGGACAATTGTCACTGCAGATTTGCTATTAATTAATAGAAACTTATATAAGTATGTAATAAGACATTTTCCCATTATAGATTTCAAGAATAAATATGCATCGATCGTCTTAACCAACGACGGTAAACTTTTCATAATCTTCATTATGCAATTACCGGCTTATACAATTGAATACTTTATTAAATATTTGGTTATTATAATTGGATACAATCAAAATAAATTACTAATGAAGGAGAATTTCTTTGAACATTTTACCATTATACAGTAACAATATATAGTCTATATCTTTATCCAACGAGTTGATAAAAAATTGATCTAAGTTATGTATAAACTTCATCATAAATTGCATCTCATATAATCCAATAATTCTATCAGACAATGTTATCATTGTCATTCGTTAAAAAAAAAAAATTAATCAACCCGATATCATTGTCCCTATTTTGTAAATAGGTTGTGTTAAGTAAAACTTGCAACGTGTATATCCAATATCCTTTTGAAGTATCAAGCTTTCTGGGTTGCAAATTTCTCAAATATGATTCTATTACGTAATAAAAAAATTAGTTCATACTCTTTACTTTGTATCTTTTTAATCATTATACAAACATTTATCTGTATTTTTTTTTAATTTCATTTCATAAATTTCCAATGGAACTTCAATAATTATGAATTTGAATTTCTTTAAAATTTCAATATTCTAATTTTACACAAAGGCAAATTTAATACACATATAACATTTTATTCGAAATCCAATAAATTACTTCTTTGAATGTTTATGTAAAAAACAATAATTCGTAATGTGCGTTAAAAGAAAACGAATAAAATTGTCGAACGTGTTTTATGAAAAAATAATGGTATTATTTATGGTAGATTTATTAATAACATTAAAATTCAATTCTAAAATAAAATTTTTTATAAATGAAAATATTAATTAAGTAAATAAAACGTTAAAAATTTACAAATAATAAATTATAAATGTTGGTATGGTAGTAATGCCGATTAAAAAATTTCAATTAGACATACTTCAATATATGTAAATATTTTTCTTTCATTTCTTAATACAAAAAAAAAAAAAAAAAAAAACAAACAAACAAACAAAAATCTGAAATCATTAAAAAGATTTTTGTACATAAATAGTAAAAGTATGAAATAACTTCTTTTCGTACATCGACATTTACCATTTATCATGTATCTTCATTTTAAATTCATCCATTTATATTTACTTTTAATCTTTACTTAGAATTAAAAATTATATCAATTTTGTCGATTGAAAATTTGTACTTTAATTCACAATACGTATTTTAAAAATCTCTTTTTCATATTACATATTTTCTAAAAATGCATGTTTTCACGCTACAATGTGGTAATATAAATTAGTTACTATAATCAGCTAACTTTAATGCTATATTATTAGTAAGGTCACAATTTGGTTCGAAGCTGATTATAAATAAATCACCAACTATATTATCTGCATTACAGCCCGACAAATTTATAGTCTATTGATATAACAAATCGTCATTCATCCTTCATAAAACATTGAAATACATTTTTATTTTTATGAATTACCAAATAATTTAATAAATATCAAAGAAATAATAAAATCATAAAACAAACTTTCATATTTCTACTCTAGGTATAGTGAAAGCTTTCTTCGGTGGTAACATTTTAAATTCACGTCGTAAAAATTACCTAAAAATATTTGCTAGAGGTGTATAAAAAATGAAATATTTATTTCAGCTTCGAAATTTGACGAATTACTTATGAAAGTAACACTTTAATATAAAAAGCTATGACGATGAAAAGCAATAACAACATAACACCTAGTCTAAAGAATATGTGGATGAGGGTCAAGGTTTATATCATTAAAGCTTCCTTCAGTCCCCTCTTCTCGATCTCGACGTCTTGTTTATATAAAGGAAAGGCACGCGCGCGCACCTCTTACATCGATGATTTCCCTCATCTGTACCTCGTAATTTTTCGTCGTACAACTAACTCTTATACACGTCAACGATCTCTCAAACACGCACGCACGCACACACGCGCGCGCACACGCACACACAGAGAGAGAGAGAGACAGAGAGAGAGAGAGAGGGGGGGAGGGAGGGAGAGAGAGAGACACACACACACACACAATACACAATACACAATACATAAACACAGATAGGCAGACACACACGTGAATGTGTAGAGTCGTATTTTGGTAACCCGGAACCGCACTATCAAATCGAAATAAACGACATCGACCTGATATCGACGCGATTATCGAGCGCCACTGGTAGCATCAGTTTGAGCGCGTAACTTTAGCCGATAGGACGACGACTAGAGCCGATCCCGGTGTTTATCGCTAGGAGGTAGCGCTCGCTTATACATTTTACCACGAGGAATTATCCAGAGGCGGACAAAACGGTGAGTCTAACTTGCATTTGTGGGCTAGCAAGGAGGCGGAGGATAATAACAAAGTGGGAAGCGAGACTTAATGAAGCGAAGCTAATTGTCGTATTGTTATTCGAAAGAGGTGTTGGGATAATTATGTCGTTTAATAGAGAAATCTTTAGATTTGGCAAATGGAAAGATATTTTGAACGACAAGGCAAACATAATAAAGGCTTATTAATTATGTCGGTAGGTTTATTATATCGAATTAACCCAATTATTCGTAACGATTTTCGTATATATATATATATATATATATTTTTTTTTTAATCTAATAGGTTCCAACTCTGCTTTGCTTCATAAAATGTCAATAGTGCGCTTTAATTTTATTCCAGAAAGAATTTTTTTTTCTATTAGTTATTATGAATTACAATTATTTATACATTTTAGAATGAAATGTTTTTGATCGATATATAAAATGCTAATAATAATAATAATATTAATAATAATAATGATGATGATGATAATAATAATAATAATAATAATAATAATAATAATAATAACAGCAACAGCAATAACAACAATAACAACAATGATACTGCTACTAATAATAATAATAATGATAATAATAATAATAACAGTGAAATATTTAAGTATTGCATTTATCGATGAATAACAAAAGCATTCATCTCCATAGAAAAATTTTATTAATATTTTATCTATATTCCAATATCGATAATAACATATATAAATGCACTTTTTAATTTAAAAATATTACTTTTATAACTGCATGCTTAAAATTGATTATTATTTAAATACAGTATCGAAATTACCTTATAAAGAAAAATGTTATATTTTATGAATTTATTTAAATTATATAAAATTTGGACGTGCTTAATGGTACTCGGGTAAAGAAATTGTTTCATTCGATCGCACATTAATCTATATTAATTTGAAACATAAATTAAATAAAAATCTCAACATAAATTAATATACTAAATTTGAATCAATTTAAATTTGATTTAATATTATACCTTATAGGTCAGTAAAGATTTGGTATTTTATTATTGCGTAATTTCTTTTAAAATATGTAAGTCCAAATTTTTATATACAAACTTGATGATACTCGTTGATAATCATAATTTACATATTAATTAAGTGTTTATAAAAGTAAAACCATCAATACCATATAAAATCTATTCAATTAATATTTAGAATTTTAATTCCATTTTAAATTTGAAATTCCAGCTTAAAAAGAATATTTTTATTGCATATTATTTCTTCAGTTTCTGATCCACAAAAGTTGAAATTATCAACATTTTTATTATCACATTCAATTTTCGTTTAAGCATAAGAATGCAGAGGATTTCTATTGATATACAGTGGTAGACGTATAGTGCAAGTCACTTCGATCCACGCGCCATTACACTTTATCGTATACTTTTTGTACCCGTGCACATAAGTAAATTAAGGTGGCCAACGATACGGTGACCATCATCATTTCACATGGATATAACTAAAGACACTTTAATAAATTCAGGTCTAATCTGCGCGATCATCATAGTTCTAAATTCTATATTACTTTCGCGAAACGACGCAGCACAGATCTGCAAACGAATATTTTAATTGTGAGTTGCGAAAGTGAGGTTATGTTTGCGCATAAGCATAGGCGACGAATAGATGTGATCCGTCTGCTGTGAGTTTGAACATCGTTCCCAAAATAATAACACTAAAGTCTGCAGTATAGTTTGCACCATTGTTTACGTTCTTTAATTAATGTATAAAAAAGGATTTAATAATTGTAAAGAGTGTCACCAGAAACTATAGAATTCATTTTATAAAAAATATCGAGCAAAATTTTGTTAAATAGAAATTACGGATTAGAATAGACCTTCATCGACGCATATTTATAGGTATAAAAGTATAAACAATCAAACAACTACCTTTTAAAATGTTTAAATACTATGCATGTACTTTAAAATTAAATACAATGGATAATACAAAATTATATAATATGCATTAAAAGAATTTGTTAATATTCGAAACTAACACTTATAATATTATAAATAAAATGTATTACAAGTTTGATATAGAATCATTATATTTTTAGTCTTGAAAGCTAGAATTGCATTTGTATAATGTAGCACATAACTAATTGGCTTTAATCTCTGTTTATTTAAATTTATTTATATAAATTTGTATCCTAGTCCCATCATAATAATTGAATGAAGAAACATTAAATTAGTGTTAGAATACAAATAATATTTTTTATTTTGTCGATTTTAAATTAAAAATAAGAATTTGAAATATATACATATCATAGTATGGGTACAATATAAAAATATTTTACAATATATCGTATAAATACGTATAAATATACAATAAATACGTATAAATTACGTTACAATAAAGTTTTCGATCATTTGACTATCTTGGAAATAATTTTATTATATCTGTTTTACTGTTCCGTTAAATATTGTATATTTCAATTTATAAATTTTCCGCTAAATATTAATAAAACATCATTTAAAATTATTGACAATTTCTTCTATTACAATACTTGATATTTTTATATAAAGTTAATTGCTGTTTTAAAGCCAAACAATCGCATATTTAACTTTATTAATAAAAACGAAACGATTCTATTCATAAAGTAAATATTTTATTTATAAAAATATATAATTTTTATTAATATAAAAATTATTTCATATAACTCATTATATATATATATATATATATATATATCATTTTATATACTAAGTTGTGTAATTAAAACTCAGCGGAATTTCCGAAACAAGTAATCTAATTTCTTTTATATTTAATTGATAAAGTCTACAAATAGTTCAAACTTATTTGATTTAGTACTGGTAAATGAAATTTTATTTTACAAATTTTCTGTATAATTTAAAAACAAACTAACTGAAAAACGGCTTATATATATTTATTTACTTTACTAACTTCCGAATTTTTTCTAATCATCATTTTTTTATTTTTAATAGTTTGTGTATAAGTTAACCTTGAAGAAAAGATTATGAAACGTATTAGATAATGTCAACATTATAATTTTTTTATATATTAGATATTATATATTATATATATATATATATATATATATATATATATATATATATATATATATATATATATTATATATATATATATTTGTATATATACTTTTTTCTATATATGCATATATTACCATCTTTAGTAATTTTATTTAAAAACAAGTATTGCATAAAAATAAAAATTGAAATAAAACTTGTACATTGAAGATTCCAATCAACTTGTTATTAAATATATAATCCCACATGTAAATATTTCATTATTTTCTATTTGTTCAATAATTATATTTGTTCAATTATTTCTTCAAACAAAAAATATTTAATTATTACACATTTAAAAGAAATATACGCTCTTGCTATAACTTTATATTATATTTAAGTATAAAATATATAGTAATGATTAAAAACAATATTACAGAGAAAAATGCAATAGTCATTATCTTGCTTAAATCTGTATATTTCATAATATAAAAAACTAAATTTAAGTATTTCTCTTCAACTATACTCCTTCTATATTTTTATATAAATTTTAACTACATGATATTAATTAATATTGTAGTAAAGTATAAATATGAAAAAAAAAACATATAAATCTTTATAATCTATTATGTGAATATAAATATTTGTATTTAGTCTAAATTAGTACATATTGCATCGAGAAGAATTGTAAGAGAACAATTTGAAACTAATTTTATTTAAAAGAAATACAAAATAATATATTAAATTATAAAATCAATATAAATTTATAATCTCGAATTATAAAATTCAAATCTTTTCCATTATTATAATAAATAATTAGTTAAATCGTACTAATATACAAATACTTTGTTGATAGTATCATAAGATTGTCGATATGAAAAATGTATTCATAAAAAATTAATGTGCAGATATTATTGAAAATATTGTATGTAATATTTAGTAATGATACTTTTTTAATGTATATAGGAATTTACAAGTTTTTCTTAGTAAAATAATAGTTTTTTATTTTTATTTTTATTATACTAATCATTTGACACAGCTTTCAATATTGCTCAACCTTGTGTAACACTTTACTCGTACAAGAATATGTATGATTTACAATGCAAATGAATGATTTATTTATTTTTTTTTTTTTTTTTTTTTTTTTTTTTTTTTTTTCATTAGTTAATATACAATTTCATTTTTATCAAAAACATATATCTTTAAAACATAATATTTCTACATTTCAATAAGAATATTATTAAGACATAATATTATACTCATTGGTCGATACAGTTTTTGTAATGTACATGCCCAGTTCTTTTATACAAATAAAAAACTAATAGATATTATATATTAAAGGCTCACAAGTTTTTCTATTTTATAACATTTTAACTATTAACAAACGTATTATCGTCAAGCTTTAATGATTAATTACAGACTATTAAAATTATATTTTAAAGGTATATTAAATATTTGAGTAAGATTATTAAATATTTATATCTGGATCTAAAAACTTAAGCTTTCTTTATGTTACATAAATTTGTTAAAACAATAATTCAATAGACTAATACTGTTTATAATAATTTTATATATGAGTAAATGAGAGTAAATAGTAAATGTACATCAATATATAAGAGTAGTAAATATTCATTGTAATTTAATTACTAAAGAAATATTTATATATAATAAGTTATCCTAAGATCACTCACTAATTCCAGTATTGCAATACTTTATTGTAATGTTTGCCAATCAACTATCGCGCTTAATAATCGAAATGTCAAAGTTGAATTCTATCTAGATCGCAATAAATATATATTTCTTACCTTGTACGAAGATAATTACTTTTTTTTCACTTAAAATATGATACTTTATTTAATGAGATTTATAAACAATTGTCTTGTTTGGATCTGATTAATCATATTTGATCATAAACATTAATTATGAATTCAAACAGGATTTGAAATAATATAATTAATACAGCGTACAATATGTAAATTTAATGATAAACTTG